ATAATTGTACTTCTGCAGTAACCAACCCTTTTGTGTTTGCAGGAGTTTTCTAATGTTTGCATACACATGCACTCTAAATTTTTATTTAACAAAGGGCTAACACGGAGGATTAAGTGCAAACTATTTCATTTCATGAAGAGCAAATAAAGATCCTATGATTGCCTTTATTTTTTTTTTTATTTTATTTTTTTTTTAATGGGTACTCCATGAAGTTTTATGAAGGACCTGACTGTGAGGTCTTGTTTTTCAATCAGATCTTTGCCAAAAGTTGTATTGCCAGCTACAGTCTGGGTGGTGGTTTGTCTTGGCATTTTTGCAGTTGTGTTATTTAGCCTTTCCTTGCTTGCTGCTAGCCAGCATATTGTTTATCATCTCCATGATGATTGTAGACAGGGAATGAACTAATAACTATGAAACAGTGAGAGAAAAAAAGTTCCTACAGTCTATGGGTGTGGATGGAGTAGGCTCAGGAATAACAACATAATAAAAATTCATAGTAAGTAGCTGGTGTACAACCAGGATGATATCTATTCATCACTGCTATTTGAAAATTTTAATCTTCAGCTAAAGTTACTGTTCCTATCCAGTTATCTAAACTATGATTGCATCTCTGTTCAAACACATAGATTTGAGATATTATGAAAGCTGAATAACAGAAGGCTAAGGAATAAGCAAAATTTATCTTTTCCCTATAATATTCTAAATATTTAAGTCATTAAGTTCCATTGCTTTCTTGTGTTTCTTAATTTTCTTTTTTCAAAATGTTCTTTCACTTGGAAATTGAAGCCAATCTAAACACACTTAACTTTTGTCTCTTCGGTCATTGTTAGGAGATAGCAACAGTAACATCAGTGTGTACATTCTGTGTTCAGTCCAGCCAGTAGCTAGCTTCCTCTTCCTTAGTTCTAAGTGTGGCTTGTTCATGTTCCATTTCTTCTGTATTGAAAAAATGTAAGAAAACTGTTGTAGGTGATTTTGTAGCTCCAAATTTTAGATATAGCTCCAATGTACATTGATAGTAGAGGCTTAGATTTGAAAAATACCATTCATGCCTCTGACTGAGGGAACTTCATTTTGCATTACATGTAGTTCAGCATAATTTAGTAAACAGTGGACTTGCTAGTATGAAGTAGTTGACTACTTTAAACAGCTGTGCTTGCTTTGATTCCATTTTAAATAATGTTCAACAACAATCCAACAGAATTTGAAGTTCACATATCTTGTCAGTAAAACTTAAAATGTTTTTTAAAATCAGTTATTTACACTAAAACAAAATATGGCCTGGGATCAGCAGTTTAGCAGCTTCTTTTCTTCATAATAGTGAACTATAAAATCCCAGGGCTTTTTCTTTTCCATTTTATGATTTCTCATTCTATTACTTCAGAAACAAGTGCATCCTATTTATTATCTCAAACTGGAAAAAAATAAAATGAAAACAAATGCACACGTGGCTCTAGTAAACCACAGTGACTTCCAAAACGCATTACATCCTACTCTGAAATTTGTGTGCTTAACTGCAGCGTGAGAATAAGGAAAGTATGTATTCCTATGTACTCTGTATTGAGGGATGATCTGTATTTGAGAAGCACTGAAGAAGTAGAGATGGATAAAGATGAAAACCATGCGGTTTTCAGTGATGCCAACTTCCTGTTCACATAGTATGTCAACAAACTCCTGAATACCAAATATGCCATGATAAATACCATCTTTCTGAAGCAGCATACACCTCCAGCTGGAAGTGCTTGTTAACTTCTGATACTGAACAGCCTCTTTGTGTCCCTTCCTGTGAATAAATTACTGCAGCTTCCACCTATTACAGTGGCTGCTCTGAAAGTAATGCCTCCTATTTTACTGTGTTGTCCCATGACGTCAGAGGCAGATGGTGGTGGTATGGCAGGAGAGACTGAACCTTCCCACCAATACTCCATTACACACAGTTGTTGTGTGACAGATGGCAGAGGAGGGGCAGTCTGACAAAACAATATCTGACATGGAAGTGCATATGAAGCAAAGGTGCTCCCTTGAATTCCTCTGTTTGTTTGTTCTGTTTTGCATTTCCCCTCTTTGTTCTTGCTTTGGTCTGCAATGACAGTAGATTTGTTTTGCCTTTTCTTCTCATGTTTCTATACCCTTTCTGCTCTTTCTGTGAAACAAGCATTGCTCATACACTGCAACGCAGTTTATTTTCACAGGTTTCTTGGGGATAACTTCTTATTGGTAACATCTGCTCCAGCTTTGAGAGATATGAAAACTGAAATTCGAAGGGCATTTATTTACAACAATCTGCAAAAATCCAATAATGGGTTAGAAACAAGTTTTTGTGCTTGTTTGTTGTTTTTAAAGCCTTGACTAGCAGAAATGTCTTTGTTACGCACTGGAGGGGCATAATATCTGTGTCTGTGGAGTCTGAGGGTTAACTCTGTTTTGCCAGACAATGCAGATTTGTAGTTCAGTTGCAATAAGAATTTGTTATGGCTGTGAATAATATACAGAATATTTGAAAATACAGTGAGTATTACAGCTGATATCTGTACAGCTGATAGTGTCTGACAATTAATATTACTTGAAAGTTGTCATAGAGTGAACAATTAGTTCCAATAACAATTTTATTTTGTGCTGGTATGCTTTATTATGTAACACAATGCTGTGGTAAAATCATTTACTTCAGTCGTTGCAATAGCCAGTCTAAGGACACCTCAGGATTCATTTCAAATTTAATCCCCTTTTCAGTTCCTGGTTGGCTTACTGTAGGTTACTCATTTATCTTCAAGAAATATTTTTAAGGAAAAAAAACTTTTTCATATCTTTCTTTTGTGGCATATCCCCCACCTATGTTTCTAACCAAAGGCATTTTTGGTTAGTGATACAAATGCTTATTGAGGATGAGGTAGATGTACTGCACAGCGATAATAAAATCACATGGTGCTTTAAGAAATTTTTAAATTCCATGGAGGATTTTTAATTTGAATTACAAGAGATTTTAAATTTGAATGAGCTGTGGGTGTAATGGAACTTTACTTTATAAAGACTATCAACTGAAAGACTAATCTGAATTATTTTCCCCTCAAAAGATTTTTTTTATATCATGTGGAACTTGACTATGTAGGGGGACTGAGGTTTCCACATGTACAGTGTTATGAAATATTTCTTTTCACAAGTACCCGACACCAAAGTTGTTTTTTTTAAGAGCCTTTAGATGAAACCCTTAAAGAAACTTGCAAAGTTCTAGCATGGAATCAAGCCCAACTCAACTCTAGTCAAAATGCTGCTTTAGATACTTGCCTGTTGGTTCTCTCTCTGTCAGAGTGCTAGAAAAGACTTATCTGTTCCTTCAGTGAACTAATGAAAGGGCTATTCATAACCTAAGTTATTCTGCAGCTTAATTTGGACAAGCATGGAGAAATTGCTTTTGAGGCATTAGTATCTCTGTTACATAGTTTTTTACAGTTGTTCATGATAAGTTAATGAAAGTTAAGATGCCATAACTTTCTGACTGCCATCTCCTTTCTGATGTTCTTCTCATTTTTCTCATTTTTCATGTGTAGGTTAACATGTATACTGGCATTCAGATTTGCAATTCAGACCCAGTATGCAGCTACCCCAGATCCCATACAGATCTGTATGTAGTGTTACTCTTTGTGACTTCTCCAAAGATTAAATAAGAGGTTGGGAAGAAATCTTATTTTGTTTTTGAAGAAAAACTAAATCTAAACATCTGCTATTGAATGTGAGAAGAGCTCAACTGTGTTAGTAAATGCTGGTATATACCCAGATGAGGGGTTATAAAGAGCAGTAGACACTGCAATGTCCCTTAAAAGTAAGATGTACATTTATCTTCATCTTACCTTTATTTCTGTGGAGGAATAACTGCATGCATCATTACAGTTAAGGAATGACCTGCTGGAGATGAGCTCTGTGGAGAAGGACCTGGGGGTCCTGCCCTTGTGACTGTGAAGGCCAGTGGAATCCTGGGGTGCATTAAAAAGAGCATGACCGGGTCCCCAGGTCAAAAGAGCTGATCCGCTCCCTCTACTCTGCCCTGGTGAGGCCATGTTTAGAATACCATGTCCAGATCTTGACTCTCCTGTTCATAAAAGACAGGAATCTCCTAAAAGGAATCCAGCAAAGGACCACAGATATGACAACGGGCCTGGAACATCTTCCGTATGAGGAGAGCTTGAGTAAAAAGGATCTGTTTAGCCTGGGGAAAAGAAGAGTAAGAGGGAATCTGGTAAACATTTGTAAATATGTATAGGGAGGCAAATGCATGAGGGCAGATTCTTCTTAGTGCTATGTAGCAATAGGACAAAAAGTAACGACTTAAAACTTGTACATAAGAAGTTCTGTGCAAACATACAAAAGAACTTCTTTATGGTAAAGGTGACAGAGTACTAGAACAGGTTGCCCAGAGAGGTTGTGGAGTGTTATTCTATGGAGATATTCAAGACCTGTCTGGATGCCTGCCAGTGTGACCTATGGAAGGGTACCTGCTATAGCAAGGGGAGTCAATGATCTTGAAGTCTCTTCCAACACCTGCAATTCTGTGATCTGTGCAGTATCTCTAAGATTTAACAACAGAGAAAAATTATTTCTTGTGACAAAGTCATACCTTGTCTATGGTATGTCCTAGGTATGGAACAGAAGATGTAGGAATTGACATTTGGAAAAGTGATCGTTGCTTTAAATTGGTATTAAAAATTAGTGAATTATAAATGCTAAATTTAGAGTTCCTTTTGGCCTCAGTAGAAGTCCACTTTCAAAAGATATAAATCACAAGCAGGTGACACTAAGCAAGATTAGCTTGGTCAGTACATTCATTAGCAGTAATCTGACTTCAGAAGTTAAATGCATTCAAGAAGAGAACTGTTTGTTTTCTCCTAGGATCCGTTTTGATATTTAGTCTCATTGATGGGGATGATTATAAAAGGAAAAGGGGAGGGTGCATTATGCATGCTGACAGCCGTCCTTTTTCACGATAATATAATCATTGAATTGATTAGGAGAGTGCTCAGATGATCAAAAGAGTGGAAGTGGATAAAGTGACAGCGCTGGAAAGAGAACAAGTTGAACCAATCAAGAATCTTTGGGAAGACCCAGGAATTCAAGAGTGCTATGACAGAGGGAGTATCAGCTCTCAAATTCTGCTTAGTAGTAAGTACTCTACATAACCACAAGAAGAACCCAGACTTAATGAAGGTAAAGAGATAGGTTCTCTCTGATTTTATTATCTATCTCTGTGTCTCTGTTGGCCTGCAATAGACAAAGGATTTTAAGCTGAAGTAATGAAACAATTTAATCTGAGATTTTCTCATGGTCCTGAAAAAATTGTTCCTCCCAATTCTGAGGTCAGCACAGCTGGTACATAACTGAGTTTCCCATAGGGGAAATCATGGAAAACAGCTGTAAAAAATACATTAACAACAAATAAGTATTTCAGAAAGTTCATAATTATACCAAAATTTTAGGATGTAAGTAAAAATGAAGATGTTTCAGTATTATTCCTGGAACTTAATTATGAAAAATGATAGATTTAAGAGAACAGAAAAATTTCTTTTTTTTTAATGACAAAGTTGAGAATTTGGATTCCAGTGAGGAACATTTAGGTTGGGCATTTGTGAAAACACTTGACAGTCTATTCTATCCTCCTTTTCTATGAAGTCAACTAAAATTGAAAATTAGTTCTATTTTAAATTTGATTAAGTATTTATTTTACTGTTAATTACAATTGAGGTCTTTAACAGTTTGTGACACTGCTGAAGAGGAGGAATTTTCTCTTCCATAATAGAATATTTGGAAGAAGTGTAAACATTTTTTATTTTTTTGTGCCCAATTAAGGGACAACTGGGCAGCAACAGGAGGAGAATGCACTGATATTCCCTTTCTTTCACCAAAGAGAAACATGGAATTAATGTTTAAATTTGGTTTCTGCTACGATCACCTTGAACAATTTGGAATAGAGTTTACACTTTCTGTAGGCCATGGCAGCATTTTTGGATGATCAAGTGTTGCCGTCTAGTGTTGAGAAGATAGATTGCAGATGAGTAATCTGCATCAGTTCCTTGTGTATGACTTCCTCACACTCTGCCTATTTATTTCAGCACAGCAGTGTCATCTTAGAAGTTAATGCCAGCTACGTACGAAAAGCACATGAAGGCTAAGAGGGACTAAGTTGAGAATGATGGCATGGACAGAAGAGAAACTAAATGCATCATCTTCTACATAAAAATATATAAGGTTGGTGCATTCATATGTGCAATGCTTTACATTAACGATTTACTATTCTTCTGAATCCTGTCAGCAGCCTTTCACATTTGCGTGCAATATTAACAGCACATGTGAAGTGCCAGGAGATAGAAAAAACGTTGATAAACAATTACATTACAGCAAGGATTGATGTGTGTTTTCAAATCTTAGCTACTGTGATTACTTTGAAGTAATAGCAAAGATTATACAAATAAAGATCATCACCTGGAGCATAAGAAGATTTTTGAACATTTCAACTTTTATTTTTTTTTTACTACTCTGTTAAAGTTTTTTTAGTTTTACACCAGTAACAATTGTTCTTATGCCAGAAGAACAAAATGGAATTTCTGTTCATTTACTTTTTTGGGGAAATTACTGCACTGCTGATCAGTGCTCTTGTTTTGAATCTATATGATTAAATTATGTGAGTGCCTTAATCTTGCTTCTGTTGCGTATTTAACTTTTCAATTATCTTACTGACAGTGATCGTATTGCTATGCCCTCATTTGTACCAACTCAGCAAGATCTTCTTAGAGTGCCAACTACAGGAATTATCAAGTACCCTTTTGATTTAGAAAATATTATATTTAGGTAAGATTACTTTTTGAATGGTTCAGTATGCAGTAATGAAAGTAGCTGCTGAAACTTTACTTCTGAGGTCTTTAAGTTTTCGCTTTCAATTGGTATGGTATATATTTTCAGCTCTGCTGATTGGATTTAGTCTTCAAATTTCTCATGATAGAAAGTATTTCAAAACATAACTTTTTAATTTTACTCTTCATGAAAAAAAGCTATTAAATTCAAGCCCAATCACTGTGTATTTCTATCTATTTGTTAAATTGGAAAGTCTGAAATGGGGGAGAGAGAGGTGCAGAGGATGTTAACAGTCATATCAGATTATGTTTTCTTTTCTTTTGAGCTAACAGTTACTACCTCCCAGAACTGAGTATTCTAGGAAACATTTTAGTTTAATAGGTCCATCAGATTTTATCTGGGCTGTTTGATGTGGAAGTAAGATATTTTTGAGAGATTTGATTGCTGAGTTAGGAGATGTGACTGCACTGTTCCAGAGGAGGAATGTGACTACACTGTTCCAGAGGAGGAACAGAAGGGATACTGGATTTGGAGTAGGAGCAAAATGTCTGTGTTTAGATCCACTTTCGTTAAAACATCTACCAACAGAGAATAAAATGACACAATATTTTGTATTTTGTCACAAGTAGCAGTGATGATTTGTACACATAAACCATATTCCTTCAAATGTTCTGTGCTCTTAATACTGCTTGAACTCTGAAGTCCCCAAACACTTTACAGATTATTTTCCTCAAGATCTGTTAGAACTGTAGAAAGCAAAGCTGGCTTCACTTGCTGAAGGGTTACCTGTTGGAATTTAAAAATGAATCTTTAAAGATTCATGTCATCTTTTGACATATGATCATGGGTGACTAAGAAATCTTTGTAATCCCACCATCATTGACATTTTTTGTTATGTTTACTTTAGACATTAGGAAAAAAGGTAAATAGCAAAGTGGCTACCATCACATATTTGTCCAGGAACTTCAACCAGCAGTCTCGTAATATGTTGTTCCTTATGTCTCTCTTGAAACAAACAGCATGGTTGTTAGTATGGCTGAGTACTTATGCTCTTGTCCTTTAGTTGTGTTACATTATAGGATCATAGAATGTATTTGATTCTGCCTTGCTAGTCACAGAATCGGGCCAAATCAGCCCATAAACTGCTGACAGAGGGGAGCATCAAGATGATTCGTTTTCAACCCCTCCGTCATGGCAGTGTTGCCATCTTATAGATCAAACAGCCCATGATTCGATTCAACCTGATTTTCAATGCCTCCAGAGATGGGGCATCCACAACCTCTCTGGGCAACTTTTTTCAGTATCTCACCACCTTCTAAATAAAACTTTGTTTTCTAGCATCTGACATAAATCTCCCCTCTTTTAGTTAGAACCTCCAATTCCCCCTCCATAGTACTGCTCTCAAGTAATTGCTCTCCCAGTCTACACATATCTGGGTTGCCTCAACCCAAGTGCAACACCTTGCACTTGGCCTTGTAAACCTCATCCTGATCCACACTGGAGGATCCCCTCAGAAGTCCAGGCCCCTCTGGATGGGAGCCTTCCCTTCTCTTTTTTCAACTACACCACTCATCTTGGTGGAGAATACATTTAATCCCCCCTTAGCCCCCTAGCTATGACCATCTAGACAGTTCTTAATCTACTGAATAGGCAAGCCTTCAAATCCATATGACTTGCAATACATATAATAAGATGCACAAATTTGATTGTTGGTATTCTTCCTGGCATAGCTGAGGCACAGTTGGGACTCCCCTCCCACACAGATTCCTGGTCTCAGTTCAGTGTGGGCTCCTCTGGGATCTTGACAGTATTTGGGATGCTTTTTGAGGAAGGGGCCAAATGATATGACTCAAATGCGGTTGTGAGCTACCCTTGTGAGAACAAAGGCTACTTAAACTTGTTGAGAAGATGGAACTTTCACAGTATGCTTCATGTGAAAATAACAATTCATTCTGACAGAAATAAGAGAACTTGAGCAAACCCTACTATGGAGGTCTGGTATCAGACCTGAACCACTCTTCTGCAGTGAAAAATTTTTAACTTTGCAAGCCAAATGCAACAAGGAATGACTGTGACAATATTTTGATTTTACCTTAGCATCTTCTGGAATTCTAAAGTAGTTTAATAATTTTTCCAAATTCTTTGGAATGGAACACAGACTTTACTCGTTCCTTTAAAAAGAAAAAAAAAAAAGAATAATCAATTGTTTTCTCCAAAATCAGTAGGACTAGAAAGAATGGTTTCAAATTAACAGAGAAGAATTAGATTAGAAGTCAGTGGGAAGTTATTCACATAGAAGAGGTGCTGGAACAGGATGACCTTGAGGATTTCTGCATGCCTCACCTCCAGAGGTGCTCATGACCAGGCTGGACGCAGCCCTGGGCAGTCTGATCTAATTGGGAGGTTGGATCATTTTTGAGGTCCCTTCCAATTAAGCAATTGTGTAACTCAATGAAAATAGGTAAGAACTCCTCACCAGTTATTTAACACTAAGTCAGATATGGTTCAGACAGTACCATGTGCCTCTTATACGAATCTGAGTGTGTCACATCTTATGCACACACCCTAAAAACTTTATTTTCTGCATAAAGACATAATAGATAGGAACTGTCCAGTGGTAACAAACTTCTTTATGCCATGGAGCCACCAAAGGTTTACCAGGGAAATAACTGTTTACTTTATTTTCTTCCTATTTTTTTTTTTTAATAATCTGAGGAATACTAAGGAATGATATAAACAGTCAAATCTTAAAGGGGCAAACAATGGCAAATCTAGAGTAGGAAGAAGAAAAAGGTTTCAGTTATGTGCTAATTCATTCCGTTTTGGACAGAAAAGGATAAGAACGTACTACACAGAATATAAAAATCTGCCTCTCAAGAGAAAATGATGATAATGCAAACATTGTCTGTATGAAAATTATAATACGCTTTATAGAAATTTCATCTGCTTCATGAGCCAAACATTATAATTAAACCCATCCTACCAAAGGTGAAGGCTATCATCTCTATTCTGCTTTTGTTGGGATTGGTACAACAGAAGTTCATTCTGCTGTCTTGTCAGAGGTGGGATCTGACTTGTCAATTTCTACTCACCAGATTCTGAGTAACAACATCACTTGTAAGAGACAAACAACCAACCAACCCCCCAAAACCACAAAACTATTTCATGTAATTTGTGTTGAGTAGACTAAAGAATTCTCTGTGCATTCTGGATGGAGCACTCTTGTTTGTACTGAAAAACTTTGGTTCACTCGCAGCAAAAAGAAACAATCACATACCTCTTACCTCCATTCCCAGAGACTTTGTTTCTGCATCTACCAAGCAAATGATCAAGTAATTGAACTCATGTTCATCAGAGATAACAGGGAGATTATTCGTATTTTATGAACAATGAGAATTATGTCAGTGTAACAAGGAACACGTTCTTTTCTTGTCAACACTCAAGTTAGAGAACAGTCCTTGCACTTTCTAAGCCAAGTGTAACAAGGAATGACTGTGACCATATTTTGATTTTACCTTAGCATCTTCTGGACTTCTGAAGTTAATAATTTTTCCAAATTCTTTGGCATGGAACACAGACTTTACTCGTTCCTTTAAAAAGAAAAAAAAAAAAGAATAATCAATTGTTTTCTCCAAAATCGGTAGGACAAGAAAGAATGGTTTTAAATTAAAAGAGAGAAAATAGATTAGAAGTCAGTGGGAAGTTTTTCACATAGAAGAGGTGCTGGAACAGGATGACCTTGAGGATTTCTGCATGCCTCACCTCCTGAGGTGTTCAAGACCAGGCTGGACGCAGCCCTGGGCAGTCTGATCTAATTGGGAGGTTGGATCATTTTTGAGGTCCCTTCCAATTGCTTAATGAAAATAGGTATGAACTCAACAACTCAATGAAAATAGGTAAGAACTCCTCACCAGTTATTTAACACTAAGTCAGATATGGTTCAGACAGTACCATGTGCCTCTTATACGAATCTGAGTGTGTCACATCTTATGCACACACCCTAAAAACTTTATTTTCTGCATAAAGACATAATAGATAGGAACTGTCCAGTGGTAACAAACTTCTTTATGCCATGGAGCCACCAAAGTTTTACCAGGGAAATAAGTATTTTCTTTTTTTTCTTCCTTTTTTTTTTAAAATAATCTTATCATTTACCATCATAACTCATCATTTTTAAGGCATCACTGGTAAGTCAGTATTATTTTAAGGAGCAAGATATTTTAAAATTCCTGTTCTAAGCAACGTGGTTGAAAGAGTAGAGTAAGGGTACTGCACTTTTTGGGAGCAAATCTTGGTGTTTTTAATAATGCCAAAACCCACAGCATGTTCTAAGAAGCATTACAGAAGATCATTTATTCTGATTTTTACATAGCCTTGCATTTCTGTTTAGGTGTCTAATAATTGTCGTAGCGTACCATTCGTTGTTAAAGACTGACAGATTTGTGTCTCGGAGTTAGTTACCCAATGGAATTTCCCATCTTGTTAAGGGAAGAAGGGTTTCAACAGCAAGGTATGTAATAAACGTTGTGAACGTTCACTGCTGTAGAGACTGGTGGATCACCCACACGACTACCTTGGGATAATCCAGTCCTTACATGCCTTCAAATCAACAAAGTAACTTGCACTATCTGCTTTTCCAACATTGCATTTTCCCACCACTGAGCTGTGCAGGTCGTTTTGCATGGATTTATTAAAATAATTAAAAGTAATATTAATGTAATACTTAAATCCATCCTACCAAAGGTGAAGACTGTCATCTCTATTCTGCTTTCGTTGAGATTGCTACAACAGAAGTTCACTCTGCTGTCTTGTCAGAGGTGGGATTTGACTTGTCAATTTCTAC